GGCTGAGGCAGGACGATAGCTTGAGGTCAGGAGTTCAAGGCTAGCCTGGGCAAAACAGTGAGCCCTTGTCTCTACTAAAAACAATTAGGCTGGGTGCAGTGGCTCACACCTGTAATCCCAGCACTGATCACTTGGGGTCAGGAGTTTGCAGCTAGCCTGGCCAACATGGCAAAACTCTGTCTCTACTAAAAATGCAAAAATTATCTGGGCGTGGTGGTACATATACCTGTAATCCCAGCAACTTGGGAGGCTGAGGCATGAGAAACTCTTGAACCCAAGAGGTAGAGGTTGCAGTAAGCCAAGATCACATCACTGCACTCCAGTCTAGGTGACAGAGTGAGACTGTTTCAAAAACAAAACAAAAAAACAATTAGCCAGGAGAGGTGGTGTGCACCTGTAGTCCCAGCTATTCAGGAGGCTGAGGCAAGAGGATCATTTTAGACCTAGGAGACTGATGCTGCAGTGAGCTATAGAGCATGCCAGTGCACTGTAGTCTGGGAGGCAGAACAAGATCCTGTCTCAAAAAAAAAAAAGTCTCAAATGCCATACTAAGGTATTGGGTCTTTGTTCAGAACACAATAGAGGAATGACTGGAGCAAAGCACAGAATAGTAGGAGAAAAGCAGAACCATTATAATTCTGTTATAGAAAGACTACTGGAAGATGCTTGATGCAGAAAGACTTGTCAGGATTCTTGCTACAGTCCAGGAAAGTAAGTGTTAATAAGGTCCTGGCATTATCTCTAAAATGGGGACAATATAATAACACCTAATTTGCAAGGTTGTTTTAAGAGTTAAGATAATATGAACTGCTGGCCAGGCGAGGTGACTCATGCCTGTAATGCTGGCACTTCAGGAGGCTAAGTTAGGCAGCTCGCTTGAGTTTAGGAGTTCAAGACCAGCCTAGGCAACATAGCAAGACCCCGTCTCAGGAAAAAAAAAAAAGTTAAAAGAAATAAAAGATAATATGGACTGCCACTTGGAAAGCAGAAACAGGAGCCCATGAAAAGAAAAACGCCTTTTGAGGAACCTGGGCCTGTGCCAGGTCTGACCTGGACTGGATGAACTACATCTTAAATATGTTGATATAGTCTTAAAAAAAAAATTCAGTTTCTAGCCATTTAAAGCAGAGAATCAATTCCTGGAAAGTGGTGAGTTAATGTATGTGGCGACACTGTGAAGACATGAATGGGCTTCTCCCACTCCGCCGCTTTTATCTCAGAGCTCACACTCCAAATGCTGCAGCCTGACCTACAACCTCAAATAAGGTCCTCCTGAAGCAACAGATGGAAAATGGGAATTAGAGGGCTGAAAATGGCCCCACAGAGGGAAGCCTGACTCTAGGCCAATGGGTGTTGCTTATTCATCCTATCTGGGTCTTCGGCAGAGGACCTGAGCAGTGATGCCTACAGCAGTCAGTGCAGAGGCTGCCTTGGCCCGGCCATCCCCAAAAGTTTTGTTGTCTTCTAGCAGCTAGAATCTCCCAAAACTGAAGTAGCTCTGGAAGGAAAACTGAAAAGTTTTCCCCAAACGCCAGGAAAAATAGCCTATAAGCGGAGGGTGAAAAATTATGATGAGGCCCTGCAAGATAAACTGTACAACTTGTCCAATCAACTCTCATAGGTAATGGTACCTGCCATTTAGGGCCTCTGTGTTTATGATATAGAAAACAAGCATTGAGCCAGGCACACAATATTTGATTAAACAAAGGAAATCACTGTTCTAATCAGGGACAACTGTTTTTATTGATGGTTTGACAGTGTACAGATAGATGGTTCACTCCAGATTTAGAGACAGTGACAAAACTGAGTCTAGATTTGATTTTCTTTATTTTTATTTTTAAGCCGTCGCCCAGGCTAGAGGGCAGTGGTGCGATCTCAGCACACTGCAACTTCCACCATCCGGGTTCAAGCGATTCTCCTGCCTCAGTCCCAAGTAGCTGGGATTACAGGCACACACCCCTATACCTGGTTAATTTTTGTATTTTTAGTAGAGACAGGGTTTCACCATGTTGACCAGGCTGGTCTCAAACTCCTGACCTCAGGTGATCTGCTGGCCTTGGCCTCTCAAAAGTGCTGGGATTACATGCATGAGCCACCACGCCTGGCCTAGTTTGAGATTAAAGAGGATTTGCAAAAAGAAATAGAACAGACATCAGAGAATACATTCAAATAAACTGAATTTAAAGGAAAAAAATCCAGTTTCTCCTAAATTCCATTCAAAGCCGAAACATTCAGATTTTCTGTTACCAACTTAGCAAATGTTAAAAATACAAGGGTATATTTCTTGTTGATAAGTTACTGTGGGTTCCACAAGTAGAGCTGGAGAGATAAGCAAACTTACCTATAGTAAGCCTGAGACTGAGACTATGGCTGCAGACAGAAGAGGACAAAGAACCAAACAGAAACTCAAAGGTTTCCTTACCCAGGGCAGTCTTCACAAGACAGTTCAAATTCCAAACTGTTAGATAATCAAAGGAATAGGCATGTGAATGGCCCTATGAATTATTCAAATTCTTATAAATAGGAAGACATAATGGCTTAGAAGTTGAAGGTAATTATATAGTAAAATTTTGTTTTTCTTCACATTATGGAGACTAAGAGTCTAAATAAATATGGAAGTGGGGGACCCATTATTTTATATTTTCAGTGAAAAAGAATTACAAGCTATATATAATGGTTTAATATTGGCCACTCAGTCCATTCTGATGAACTCCCGCCCATCAGAATACCTGCTATTTAAAGAATCATTGTTGGCATGTCGAATGAAAAATGTGTTCCTCCTGAGTTTCTTCTGAAGTCTACAGTTAGAATCTTGTACATAGTGGTCCCTGTCAAAGTCCCAGTGGTTGTGATGATGAACAAGTTTTGAGAATGTTCAGCTGTAAGAGACCCGCTCCGTAAGAGACATCAACAAGGCCCCTTATGAAAAACAAGAAGTAGAAAACCAGACAAAACGCTTACCCTCACAAGGATTATTAGAGGCCTTTCCTGTAACTATAATTTTTCTTCAACTCCATTGCTTGTCCTGTGCTACCCACTTGTAGCAGAACACTAGGAGAGGATATTATAGTCTAAATATATCAGAATGCAACAGATATTCTTGGCCTTGTTAAGGCAATGTAAGTCTGCATCTTAAAAACACTATTTTACATTTGTTTAGGATCTTGTCTTAGTCTGTTTTCTGTTGCTATAACAGAATAGCATAAACTGGGTGATTTAAAAAGAAAAGAAATTTATTTTTTAAAGTTCTGGAGGGTGGGAGGTCCAAGACCACCCCAGTATCTGCTGAGGGCCTTCTTGCTGTGCCATAACATGGCTAAGGGCATCATATAGCAAGAGGGCAAGAGCATGCATGTCAGCTCAGGTCTCTCTTCCTCTTATAAAGACACCAGCCCCATTATGGCACCCCCAACCCTGATGATTTTATCTAATCCTAATTACTTTCCAAAGGCTCTATGTTCAATTGACATACAAAGGGAATTAAGTTTCCAACACATGAAATGCGGGGAACAGCAAACTATAGTAGGTATCTATAATAAAAATTAAGATAATACATATGAGGTCCTTATCATCAAACAACGTAGTGTAGAATGCTCACCAAACTGGTAAGGGGGATGGTGGAGAGGAAGAAGGAAATGATGACTGAAGTCTCTACCTTGCATAACTGAATGCTGTGAACCAAGATACATACAGGAGAAGCAATTTATGGGTCCACTGGGGTGATAAAGGTAACGGATTTGAAGTCTGAGAAAGACATATGAAGGAGGCCAGGGTGGCTCAGGCCTGTAATCCCAGCACTATGGGAGGCTAAGGAAGACTGCCTGAGGTCAGGAGTTCAAGACCAGGCTGGGCAACATAACAACCCCGTCTCTCTTTAAAAAAAAAAAAGACATAAACAAGGAAGAAACAATTCAAACAGAACATAAAGAAGTCTAAAAACAAAAGCTTTCTAATATTAATAGCTCATTTCTAAAGATAATATTCCTTGTATTACAATACAGCATTCTCCCAAGATAATTCATTTATCTTTAAATGAGGATATTTATAAATGTTTGTAAAAAGATAAATGGAGAGTCTAAGAAGTAATGGTGTTTATTTCTTGAGGCCCAAAGTTATTTCTGGCATAACTTCACAGTACTGCACAGCACCCAGCAAAATATGAGTGATCTCAAACTTCTCTTAAGATCTGAGTCTGTGTTCTCCTAATAGTACATGTATCTATACTATTATCATATATATCACAGTAAGATACTTGGTTATTAATATATTTTGTTATCTAAAATTTTTAGACATTTCTTAAAACTCAAATTTTCTTTACCAGTTGTCTTATTCTGTCTTCCCTGAACAGATGATAACATATCCTTTTGGGTTCACTGCACATGCCCCTTTGCCAAGAAAGTAATGTCTCAGAGGAAAAGGTTATGTCTTCTATGTGATAATCATTACTGGAATTTCATGTCAATGCTAATATCTTCCCAGCATCTCCCATACCACAAATACAGTATTTTCTAGATTAATTAATAGAATACGTAAATAAATTAACCCTATCATTTTCCCATTTTCAGTTTTTCTATACTTTTCTTTTTTATTTATTTTTAAGAGGCAGAGTCTCACTGTGTTGCCCAGGCTGAAGTGCAGTGGCACAATTATAGCTCATAATTCCTGGGCCCAAGCAATCCTCTAGCCTCAGCCTCCCAAATAGCTAGGGCAGGTGCATGTCACCATGTCCAGCTAACTTAAAACATTTTTTTTTTTGTAGAGATGGGGTCTCGCTAATGTTGTCCAGGCTGGTCTTGAACTCTTGGCCTCAAATGATCCTCCTACCCAACCTCCCAAAGTGCTGGGATTACAGGCATAAGCCAGCACATCCAGCCCTGTACTCTACTTTCTAGAGATATCTTACAACAACTGATTTTGTCATACAGGTACAAGGTACTGGTCGAGATAGGCTGTCATGTGATCCCTGAGTTGTCTCCTTGAAAAGCATTTCTTGCTCCTACCTCAGGGCTCTTCCCTTTGCCTGCACCGCTCTTCCGAAATGTCTTCACGTGGTTCACATTCTCATTTCACTGAAGTCTTTGCTCAAATGCCACCTCTCAGAGAAGACTTCCCTGGTTAGCCTATATAAAATAACATCCTATACCATCATTCACTATTACCTTTCTTCAGTTTGTTTTCTTTGCAGTAGTACTTTTCACCACTTGAATTTCATTTATTCAACTCTAAATCCTCACCACATAATACAGTACCTGGCATTAAGTTGAAAACTGCTGAATAAAATTAGTTAAAAAAAAAAATTAAGAAAAGGCTTATCTGTAATCATTCTTTAAGATTTAGAGTCCAAAAATTATCTCTTGGGATCCATATTCCTTTATAGTCTTAGACTCTTAGAAGATTGCGGTTAAAAAAATTGGATTAGTACTCGGAAACAAAAAATTTCCTAGAAAAAAGCCTCATAGATCACAGTGTACATATATCCTCGAATATGACTCTGGATGTTTCCATAAGCAATAATTTTTAAAAACACACTGCTTCCTCAATACAAATACATATGTATACACCCATGTTCATAAGAGCATTATTCACAATAGCCAAAAGGTAGAAGCAACTCAAGTGTCCACAGACAAATGAATGGAGAAACAAAATGTGGTGTATACTTAGAGTGGATTATTCAGCCTTAAAAAGGAAGGAAATTCTGACACCTGCTAAAACCGATGAATCTTGACAGCATTATGTTCAGTGAAATAAGCCAGTCACAAAAGGACAAATAGGGATTCCACTTATATTAAGTACTTACAGTAATCAAATTCATAGAGACAGAAAGTAGAAGGATGGTTGTCAGGGGCTGGGGAGTTAGTATTTAGTAAGTACAAAGTTTCAGCTGGGGAAAATGAGAAAGTTCTGGAGATGGATGGTGGTGATGGCTGCACACCAATCTGAATGTACTTAATGTCGCAGAACTATATATACGCTTAGAACTGGCTAAAATGGTAAATATATTTTTAAGCGACAATTTAAAAAATGGAAAAAAACCCACGAAAACATTAAAACAGAAAAGCAATGGCATACCTCCCCTCCTCACTCCCTTTTTTAAACATTCCCCCCAACTTCATGTTCCTTTTAGTGACTGTAGAAGGAGTATCTCACATCAGAATGGGAATATATGGTTTACCAAGGGCTTTTTCATGTGCTCAGTCACTTTATTCTTACACCAAGACTTTCCTGAAGACAGGATGGGCATCATTCTCAATACTCTGAATGAGGAAATTAAAGTAGAGATGTTAAAATGACTTACCCAAAGTCAAATAAAGAGTAAAATGAGCCAGGTGTGGTTGCTAACACCTGTAAATCCAGCACTTTGGGAGGCCGAGGTGGGTGGATCCAAGGTCAGGAGTTTGAGACTAGCCTGGCCAATATGGTGAAACCCCGTCTCTACTAAAAATACAAAAAATTAGCTGGCTGTGGTGGTGGGCGCCTGTAATCCCAGCTATTTGAGAGGCTAAGGCAGGAGAATTGCTTGAACCTGAAATCACGCCACTGCGCTCCAGCCTGGGCGACAAAAGTGAAACTCCTCCATCTCCAAGGGGGAAAAAAAAAGTAAAACAGCAAAGCCGAGACCAGAGGACAAGCCTTCAATCCCTCATCTAGCATGTGTCTTATCCTCCGAACTCTACATCCCTGCTAAACAAGAAAGCATCTCAAAAGTCTTCAGTCCTATTCCAACCTTTCTGAAGGAAACTGCTACGTCTTCCTTATGCTTCTCTGTGTCCACTGGACTGCTGTTATTACTCGACATTTAAGTCTCTAGTTTCCACTTTATCACCCCAGTGAAGTACAGGGACAGATCTCAATCTCTGTGGTGCTGTGCACTGTTGAACAGTAAAACATTTCTTGATTGTGATTAATACTCCATAAACATCAAATCTCCTAGCATTCATATACAAAGGACAATTAAATGACTGAGTTTCTCTATTCTTATTCCTTCCTACTAGTTTTTCCTTCCTTTGCAGGAGAAACTTTCATAATTTTTTGTGATAAAAATGAAAAAATATACTATAAAAAAGTAAATAGTTAATGGACCTCCACCCATTGCCAAGTTTCAACCAACATTTACCAATTTGTAGCTGTTTTTTGTTTTTTTCTTTAGAAATAGCGTCTTGCCCTGTTGCCAAGGCTGGAGTGCAGTGGCACCAATATAGCTCACTGCAACCTCAAACTCCTGGACTCAAGTGATTCTCCCGCCTCAGCTTCCCAAAGTGCTGAAATTACAGGTGTAAGTATCAACCATATCCCAGTCCACTATCTACCCAATTCCTCTAGATTATTTTCAAGCAAATCAGATAGCATATTATTTCACCTGTAAATATTTCCCTATTTACCTCTAGAAGGAAGTATGTAAAGCAACTACAGTACCACTATCACATCTAAAACAAACAATAATTCCTTAATATGAACCTCCTAGGCAGTGTTAACATTTCCCAAATCGTTTTTTCTTTGTTTGAATCAGGATCTGAATAAGGTCTACACATTGTGACTGGATGGCTATGTCTCTTCAATCTCCTTATATGGGTTCCCTCTCCTCTACAATTTTTTTGTTGTTGAAGAAATCAGGTTACCTGGTAGTTTCCTATAGTTTGGATTCTGCTAAATATATTACCATGATGTAGTTTAGTATGTTCTTCTGACTCTTGTATTTACAACAAATTAATAAACACATCTAGAGCTTTCATCAGATTCAGGATCATTCTGTATTAAAATCTTTTTTGGTGGGGAGCAGACGTGGTGGCTCATGCCTGTAATCCTAGCACTTTGGGAGGCTGACGTGGGTGGACTGGATTGCCTGAGCTCAGGAGTTCCAGACCAGCCTGGGCAACATGCTGAAACCACATCTCTACTAAAATAAAAAAAATTAGCCAGTGTGGTGGCACGCACCAGTGTTGCCAGGTACTTGGAGGCTGAGGCACAATAATCGCTTGAACCTGGGAGGTGGAGGTTGCAGTGAGCCGAGATACCACTGCACTCCACTCTGGGCAACAGACCGACTCTGTTTCTGAAAACAAACAAAACAAAGCAAAACACTTTTTTTTTTCTTTTTTGCCAAGACTGCTTCACAGGTGGCAGGTAGTATGTACTTCCAACGGTAAGTTCAAATGTCTACTGAATTCCCTTTCTTTGATATAAGCAGTTACTAATGATCACCAACTAGAGCAATCCATTAAGGGGGCTATAAAACAATCACGTGATAGTCTATCATTCTTTCTTTATTTGCTAGCAGGAATATTTCTATAAAAAAAACTCATCAACTATTCAGTTGTCCTGATGCAGTCTGTATAGTAAGAACAGAATAAATGAATACTTTTTTACTTCTATTTACTAATTTTCAAAACAATTAGTAACAGCTTCCTAGCATCCTTAAAGACAATCAGTGAGTTTTAAAAGTTATGAATTCATAGACTTATGAACAAACTTATGTGATAGGTTTCAATTCTTTGTGGTTATCCTTATTGAAGTTCAAACTGTCCCGTCTTTGGACAGCAGAGCCTTATTCAAATTGGTTCCTGACCTTATGACATAATCTTAACCTCCGCCTCCAAGAGCTTCCTTACCTTTCTGGCATTATAACTTATTCCAGGCATATCTTATATTTGTTTTGCCTTCAACTTGGAACCAGTCATTTACTTAAAGAAGCCCTAATTCCTTTTAGTACGAAATGGTATTCGGAATCCACAATCTCAGTAATAGGGATACTCAATGCCATTTCAGTACACAGATCCAAGACAGTATATACACACATATCTATATAAACATGTACACAGATATATAAATACACATTATCATTAGTTTATACTGTTGCTTCTAATTCAAATTCAGGTTTATAGGATTTTTACTTAATCTCATTGATCTTATATCATTTCTCTTTTCTCACATGCGAAAACCCTCTATTCTCAATGCAGCCTACAAAATTGCTTATCACAAAATATTCACACAACCTGAGAATAAAAATATTAACACTATCATCAATATGATAAATGAAAATCTTTTTATTTTTAATTTTGTTTTTTATAATTCTTTTTATCTTTAGGATATACCCAACTTGGAATATTCTATAAATTACTGTGTATGTAAGTCACTTGGAATAGTTTTTTCTGTGTAATTATATAACTACCTGGAAATGCACTTTGTAAGATTTATTTTGATTTTTAGTTATTACATTTTTAATTTAATTTTGTTATATAATTACTTAAAATATTTAAGTGGGTATAAAGTTAAAATAAAAAACATAAGATATATCTAAAGAATATGAATAGCTGTCCCTGTCTACTCTATTATAGTCCCTGCCTGCCCCATAGGTAACTTTACTTATACTTTATAGAACATTTTACATTCCCTGTTTTTGGGCCATTATCCATTGGTTTTCTACTGTGAGCAATACTGAACTTAAGTTAGTAACTTCCTTCTCCTGTCTCTCCCCTAGTATTTTAAGTCATATATATATATGTGCGTGTGTATTTCATTTCTCTTTTGAGACAGAGTCTTGCTCGTCTCCCAGGCTAGAGTGCAATGGGACAATCCTGGCTCACTGCAACCTCCGCCTTCTGGGGTCAAGTGATTCTCCTGCCTCAGCCTCTTGAGTAGCTGGGATTACAGGCGCTAGTCACAACGCCTGGCTAATTTTTGTATTTTTAGTAGAGACAGGGTTTTGCCATGCTGGCCAGGCTGGTCTTGAACTCCTGACCTCATGATCTGCCCACCTCGGCCTCCCAAAGTGCTGGGATTACGTGAGCCACTGCACCTGGCCTTAAGTAATATATTTTTATTTACAGTGAATATCTATAGATAACCAGTGAGTTTATTCTACTCTTCATATTCCCCACATTCTTGATAATTAAACTTTACCTATAAACTACAGAGTGGTTACATACACTCTCAGTCTTAGTTCTACCAATAAAATATATATTTAATCATCATCAGCTTAAAGTATCAATTAAAGAGTGTTAAGAATACAGGTCTACAATTCCTTTCCAAAAGGCAATTTTTGGAGCCATATACATTCAAAAATTCACTTTTTTCCTTTGCTTTCAAAAATAAATAACATGGTTAAACACACCTAACTGCAATAATTTAAGCATACCCTTAGAATGACCTTGTATGGTAGATATACCTGAATGTGTGTTCTGAGCTAAGAAATCCAGAAGTGGCCAACCCAGAGATTCCTTCCTTGTCTATAAGGACATCTGAGCCCCCAAACTGACCCATGGAACACAAACCCTACAGGGGAGTAAGGTCCCAAGTTTTGGGTTGAATAAAGATTGCCAGGTAGAGGTTGTTAGGCAGAAGTGCTAAGTGGAAATGCTATGGCAAGCGGTTGTGGTTCTTCTGCCCAGACCACTGTCACTGGACTGTATGTAAGGTGGTTATCCCGTCCAGCCCACTGCCACTGGACCCTCTCCTTTGTATGTAGGCCCCCAATAAAACCCCACATCTCCTTTGCTGGCTCTGGGTCTCTTCTTGGCCTCCTGAACCTAACGCCATGCCCACTGTAGTGACAGAGGTTTGGCATGACATATGGTATACCAAACATTTACCGTATACTACATAACTATCCCCCATGAGACTTGGCACAGCACCCTGATTTGTTTGTAACATCAAACAAATTAGTATTTTGCAGTAAAATATGTTATTTAGACTAACCTATGTTAATTTAGGTTCAGTTTTGCTGGCAGATCAATCTGGGAGGCTGAGGCAGGAGAATTGCCTGAACCCAGGAGGCGGAGGTTGCGGTGAGCCAAGATCGCGCCATTGCACTCCAGCCTGGGTAACGAGCGAAACTCCGCCTCAAAAAAAAAAAAACAAAGAAAAAGAAAAGAAAACATTTCTATTCATATTAAAAGAAAATATATTTTAAATTGCCATTTTCTATAAAATTCCATTGGATTCCTGCAAATGAAGATTAGTTAGTTGCCAGAGTTTTCTTAAGAAAATCTTACTAAGCCATGCGGGGTTTTTTTCTAATATAACCTATTATAATTCAAAACAGCTGTCAGTCCCCTGCTGATACTTTTTTCCCCATTAAAATGCATTTTTAAAAGAATATAAAAGTACATCACATTCCACTAATCAATGCAACAATCTTCTAAATGTAACCAGAAGAATTCTTCGAACTAGAAAATGAGAAAAAGAATACAGAGAAATGAGGTGAGTAACGTTCTTAGAATTTTGACAGTTTTATAGAACTGTCACCTGGTCAGATTTTGTGAAGAGGAAGGTACTGAATTTTTTACTTATTCTAAAATGAAACCACACACACACCCCTCACACATATATACGCACATTTATTTTATTTTGAGACAGAGTCTTGTTCTGTTGTCTAGGCTAGAGTAAAGTGGTTCACTTATAGTGCATTGCAGCCTCCAACTCGTGGGCTCAAGCAATCCTCCTGCCCCAGCCTCCTGAGCAGCTAGGACTACAGGTGTGTGCCAGCATGCCCAGCTAATAAATTTTTTTTTTTTTTGTAGAGATGAGGTCTCACTATGTTGCCAAGGCTGGTCTTGAATTCCTGGCCTCAAGTGATCTTTCTGCCTCAGCTTTGCAGAGCACTGGGATTACAAAGCATGAGCCACCTTACCCTGCTGCTGAAACTATGTATTCTTAGTGTTCTTATAGTTTTTCTACTTATGAAATACTTCTTAAATATCTGCTATAAATGCATAGTAAGCATGGTCTGAAATTTGTTATCTCTTAGCTGTTTAAATGATTTTAAAAACATAATCTCCACAGAGTGACAAACAACTTAGGAATAGTCACTAGAAAAGTCTTGTACATTATCATTCTTTTTTTTTTTGAGACAGAGTTTCGCTCTTGTTGCCCAGGCTGGAATGCAATGGCACCATCTCTGTTCACTGCAACCTCCCCTCCCAGGTTCAAGTGATTCTTCTGCCTCAGCCTCCCAAGTAGCTGGATTATAGGCAGGCGCCACCACCCCTACCTGGCTCATTTTGTATTTTTAGTAAAGACAAGGTTTCTTCCTGTTGGTCAGGCTGGTCTTGAACTCCCTCAGGTGACCTGCCTCAGCCTCCCAAAGTGCTGGGATTACAGGTGTGGGCCACCATACCTGGCCAGATTATCATTCTTGAATGGGGTAGGAAAACCCAAACCAGTGAAGAAATCATTAAAAAATATACTCAATTATTAGAAAAAATTTTTAAATGTGGATATGATTATCTTTTCTCATTCATGAAAACTAAATTTATAGTAAATACTAAAATTGAAAAATCCTATGCATTTATATGCATATCAAAATTCAAAATCTGGCCAGGTGACAGTTCTATAAAAAACTATTTTCATTTCATAATATATCGAGGTTGCAAAAACATGGCCTGTGGTCTAGGCTAGAGTGCTTAGCTCATTGCAGCCCCAACTCTTGGGCTCAAGCAATCCTCCTGCCCCAGTTTCCCAAGTAGCTAGGATTTTGTTTGCATACACAATCTTATGATCCCATCCCTAACAAACTAGGAGGTATCCCAGTCCTCCTATTCACCATTCTCATTCTAGCAATTATTCCCAAACTTCACATGTATATAACAACAAAGTATAACATTCTGGCCATTAAGTAAATGCTTATTCTGAATCTCAGTAGCCGATCTATTTACACTTATATCAGATACAAAATTTTACCTTACCTTTAAAAAATTCCTACATAGAACTGTGATGTATGGGGGTCACATCCAATTTTTCAATATTATAAATAATACTGCGATTCTTTTACATATATCTTTGCCCACTCTAAATTATATCATTAGAATAAATTTCAAGAAGATTCTTGGGGTAAAGGATATACATGTTTCTAATATGATGTCATGTTGTCAGAAGAGTTGCAATTTACACTCCTATCAGCTCTGGATGAGAATATCCAAAACGCTGGACATTATTCATCTTTGCAATCTGATGGAGGAAAAATTATACCACTGCTATTTTAATTTCTTAAAAATTATTAGTGAAACCAACACTCCTTAGTCCCCATGTTGCTTTAGATTCTTTGCCCATTTTTCTGTTTGGCTATTCTTTTCACTAATTTGCAACACTTTCTATATTAATGTTAAAATAATCAATAGAAATTATTCATATGGTCCTTTTAAAACTATGACAGCTTTTGTCTTAAATGTTTAAATTTTTCATATAGACAACTCTGTCTTTTCCTTTGTAACTTCTGGGTTTCCTGTTTCTTACTGCAAACATTTTTCCGTCAGAAAGCAAATTCATATATAAGCAGTTAGGACAATATTTGAGAAAGTTCTTTCAATATGTGTTGTAATCTCCAAATTAGAGTATGTGGGTACATACTCTTCTATCAGCGAGGAAGTTAACATTAGATTAAGAGTTTACTACACAGTTATTATTGTTTCAAGTCATTAGGTATAGTAATATGTAAAATTTTATTAAATCCTAAGTATTATGCTAACTCAATTACCTGTTGTTGCTGGGAAGAGAGATGGAGAAATTTTCCATATAACTGGAGGATGCTTTTGTTAGTCACTGAGGTGTACAACAATAGGCTTGACTTTTCACTGAATTTCCTGAGAATGTTGTGCTTAACTGACACTGTTCTTTCTCCATTATTTGTAGATACATCTGTTCAGCTATCAGTGGTTCTGACATCTAGAACATTTTCATCACTCCTTCAAAGAAGTTCCATTAGCAACTACTCTCATGTCACCTCAATTCCCCAATCCTAGACAACTACTAATCTAATTTCTATCTCTACTGATTTGCTTATCTGGGACATTTGGGGATCATATAATAATGTGGTCTTTTGTGACTGGCTTCTTTCACTTTATAGCATAATATTTTCAAGGTTCATTCACATTGTAGCATGTATCAGTACTTCTTTATTCCTCTCTATTTGCTGTATAATATTCCATTGTATGGATATACCACATTTTATTTGATTTATTCATTTATTCATTAATTCATCCATCCATCCATCCAATGATGAACATCTGGGTTGTTTCCAATTTTTGGTTATTATGAATAATGCTGTTACACACATTTGTGTACAAGTTGTGTGGACATGGACTTCCATCTCTCTTAAGTACATACTTA